CATGTGAGTTATGTCAGTTATGCCTCGGGAGTATGCAGGAATATCAGTTTACATTAATTAAACACCATGTTCGAGTCTCTACAACACACACACACACGCACACACACACACACTGGTTTAATGAGGGCTGTATTCTTGTTACACATAAGCATAAACTATATTCACCACATGTCAGAACTGTTGAAGGTTTCAGACAGCATGTTACGCACAGCTATAAACAACATAATGTGACCAAAATATCACAGAGACTAGAAGGTGGATTCTTTTGATTTGGGCAAGTAAGAAAAGGCACCGCAATGCCCTAGCAACCACATAGCAACACCCTAGCACCCTTTTATAATTTTATCAAGTATTAAATGCATTCATAACCCTCACGTTACAGTATGAAATAAACAGATACACAAACTTGTCATTCATGGCACTGACTGGAAAACTTCTATTCAATCCTTCTAGCTTACACTGAAGCTCTGTGGGTTCTGACTGCAAAACAGAAACAAACTGAGCCAAAGAAACTTCTGTCCAAATATCTAACAGCCAAGACTTCTGAAGAAAACTATCCTTCACATAGAGGCTGGATTTACAGAGAGGGTATGTGTGAAATTGTAATTACGCATACAGTTCTTAATTGAATAGCAAACCCCAGATTTAATATATGCAAGCCAACAGATATTTGCATATTGAAGAATTTCATATTCATAAAGAGTAGCCTAGCAACTAGCACAAAGCCAGCGAGAGATAGCCATGTTGTACAACAAGAGTCTATAACAGAAAAAAGACTGAATAAGATCTGGTTAGTTGGAAAATGTGAAAAAAAGAAAGCAAAAAGCAGGTGCTATAAGAACAAACCACACAAAATAAGAGATACCTTCATCAACATCGGAAATATAGTCCTCATTGAGCATTTCAGGCACATTGGCTCTATGAACTGTGTAATTTAAATGAAAACTGTTACAAATAATATGTAAATGAACAAAAATTTAATTAAATGTACATAAATAAAGAGAAAATAATAGACCACAATAATATGAAAACCTGTTTACCTTCATCATCTGACATGTCCAAAACCTCATTCATTGTTTCTGGAACATTCATTTTGTGTTTCTCCATCACAGTCTAGAAGAAGAAGAAAAACAGCAATAAGTGATTTGTTGATGTGGCATCATTTTGCTTCGCTTCAAATATAAAGCATGTATTATATTATTAGCATGCAGCATTGTTTTTTCCCTGCTATCTGTGACTCAGAACAGACCTGCAACCAACTTTTGTGTTGCGATCCACTGTCTGAGAACCACTATACTAAAGCACAATAACACCTGGTGTACGGTATTTTGCAGAATAGAATGTGTTATGACACAAAGTCCCTCACCACAGTAGTGTGTGTCTCCTCTGTCACGACTTTGAGCGTGTCGACCACAGAGATGTAACCCAGGCGCCTGGCAATAGCTAAGGCAGTGTTTCCATTCTGTAGATTAAGGGAAAGGAACAATATTAAAGGAAAATAAATAAATAAATGCATAAATAAATAATGTAAAGACAATGTATAACATTTTAGTTAACTCAATACAATTTTGGCAAATGCTTATCATTCAATAATTCTGTTATTTGTTTACTGTGATGCCTGTAATAGATGCTTTAGAATATTAAATAATTATTATATGCAATTTAGTACATACACCATTTTATATAATATATAATATAATGTAATACAATTATACATAAACATAATTCTGGAAGAAAAAAAAGACTAAAGCAATGCAGTGGTGACAAACCAGAGTGACATGTTCAAAATTAATGAACTAGATTTTTATTTTTCCTTCAGTAAAAAAAGTGAGTAATGCATGCCAATGCAAAACAAAATTGAAATGGAAAAATTCTCAGAAAATTCCAGGATTTCCATGACTGCAGGCTGCCTGCTCTTTCGATGTAAGCCTATGGGATTTTTTCACAGAAAAGGTCTGAAAGCTCAGAAAAGAAACAGCAAACTTCTCCTTAACATGACTTGTGCATCTTGTTTGGAAGAGGTGTAGTAATTCAGACTGTTGTGACACACTCACCACTGTCAGCTCATTAGGAGAGGCTCCGTGCTGCAGCAGAAGGTTAATGATGTGTGTGTGACCCTGCTGAGCAGCCTGATGAAGAGGTGTGTATCCATTCTGAACATGAGACAAACTGAGTTTAAATCTTTATTTTGGACCACCAGTAATCAGAAAAGACTATTCTGTAACAAGAGATGTAGTCTCAAGCATACTGCAAACTGCTTTCTGTGAGCATTACCTTAGTTTTGGCATTGACTTTAGCCTGGTTCTTCAAGAGGAAGTGCACCATCTTTATATTGCCATAGTGACAGGCCACATGCAGGGGTGTATATGCCATCTGAACCAGAACACAGAGACACACATTACTCTTAGACTTCTTTTTCAAGTCAAGCACATTAATTATGCACACATTAAAAAGCCATAGTATATTCATCTCTATACATACATCTCTAATAACACAATCACACTTAACCATCTTAATGGGCTTTTCACATATTGATAAAAATTGATAACCCACAGTCATTTTTAGAGATTTGGAGATTTTTGAGATTTAGTCATTCATTTTCATTTTGCATATGAAACTTCACAGAAGTCTCCAGATCATTCATATGGGATGTTCTGTAAAGCTTTTCTTTTCTGTACTACAGTAACTAAGAGGGCGGAGCTTAGCGGAGGTGTCAATTCACCACTGGAATTAATTTCTCGCTAAATGCCACACGTGAGTTTTAATGCACTTGTTCTTTCTCATTCATCTGCCTGTGGTCAGAGAGGGAGTGCTTTCTGTGGGTCATTGTGCTGTAGAGCATTGATCTGTGCGCTGCTGTCTGACTCATTCTCTCACAGTCTCTCCAAGAGCCACACTGAATGACCTTGAGCAGGGGCCGCTCTATGTTTATACATGATTGACCAATGAGGGGCCTGGCCAGACATACCCGTCTGCCTGTCTCTCTGTTCTTCTACCTATCTGTTTGTTTGTTTGTCTGTCTGTCTCTGTCTGTCTATCCATCTGAAATTGAATTTACCTACATCTGGGGTTGGTAAGATATTTTAATATTTTTGAAAGAAGTCTCTTATGCTCACCAAGGCTGCATGTATTTGATCAAAATCACATTAAAAACTGTAGTATTGTTAAATATTTTCACAATTTAAAGTAACTGTTTACTATTTGAATATATTTTAACATTTAATTTATTCCTGTGATGCAAAGCTGAATTTTCAGCATCATTACTTGTCTTCAATGTTACATGCCTCTTCAGAAATCATTCTAATAATAACTTGCTGCTCAAGAAACATTTCTTATTATCAATGTTGAAAACAATTGTGCTGCTTACATTTTTTTGTGGAAACCATGATAATTAGAATTCAAAAGAACTGCATTTAGTTGGAATAGAAATGTTTTGTAACATTATAAATATATTTACTGTAACTTTTGATCAATTCAATGAATCCTTGCTGAATAAAAACTTGTGATTTAAAAAAATATATATTTTACACTGTAGTGTGTGTGTGTGTGTGTGTGTGTGTTTTTGTGACAAATGAGGACATACATTTGTATAATGACAAAGGTATGACATAGGTATTACAAGGAGAAGGTGACTTTTCAGGACATTACCCCATGTCCCCACTTTTCAAAACGCTTATAAATCACACAGAATGGAGTGTATTGAAAATCTGAAATAGCACAAAGTTTCCTGTGAGGGGTAGGTTTAGGGGTAGGGTTGGTGTAGGGCAATAGAATATACGGTCTGTACAGTAGAAAAACCATTACGCCTATGGGATGTCCCCACTTTTCACAAAAACAAACCTGTGTGTGTGTGTGTGTGGGGCCATTACCTTAGTCTCTGGGTCCACTGTGGCACCATGATTAACCAGCACTTCTGATATATTGACTTTATCCTCTTGAGCCGCCAGATGAAGAGGGGTCAGTCCACTCTGATACAGATATTCATTAACCAATTTAGTGACATAACCAAACAGATGTGACACATCATGCATAAATCAAGCATCCATTAATCAGTGTACGTCACTCTTACTGACCAAGCTGACTGTAGCCATAATTTGACACTGGTGACCTTGAGGTGTATTAAGCAATAAATATGGCCAGTTTTGATCTGATGTTGGTTTTTGTTTTCAGTATAATGTTAATAATTATGCTACTACTTTCAATAGCATGTTAAAGTATATGCACAAGTCAAAATAAAAGGTTTTTAAGGTTACAAGGGCTTCACAGATATAATTTCCTGTTACATATTTCACTACCCAAAAGGAAAATGTCACAAACTAAAAAATATTATAATAATGTAGGATTGAGGAATAGCATCTTAAAATAATTGAGCTCTTTTTTTTTTACCTTGTTTCCCAGATTGATGGCAGTTTCACGGGCGATCAGGAGCGTGACCATGTCAACGTTGCCCTCCTGGGCTGCCAGGTGGAGAGGACTGATGCCCTGGCGTGTCGCGGCATTGGTATCAGCCCCGTACTCGAGCAGTGTGGTCGCTATCTCCATCTGGTTCTTCTTGGCAGCTATATGCAGTGGCGTATAGCCATTCTGGGAGGGGTCATAATATATATTTGATCTATATATAAATATATATATTTTTTTCATATATATATATAAAAAAAAAAAAGAAATATATAACTATATAAAGTAAAACTATAAAAATAACAAATTATCTTTATGATTATTTTTAACTAGAGTTGTAATATATATATATATATATATATATATATATATATATATATACATACATACATACAATAAAAATATATAAAGATATACATTCAATATTGACAAAGGACAGGACTGAAACATATCAAAATGTATATATTTTTTGTCTAGCCCTACACAGCACTAACTTGCACGCTGCCAAACCACTATAAGCACACTAAAACCTTAGATTTATGACATTTCCAAAACAGAAACATGTTGACAGCAGTGCTTTGCTTCTAACCTCACAGACTGAGTGGAACAATGGTTGAAAGGTGGAGAAAAGCAGTCTGAGTGCAAGAAAACAATCTTGTTTCTTAACAGCTAAGGTGTCAGCCAGTGAGGTCAATGAACAGCGGTCCCGTCCAAACCGCAAGTCAGTTAGTGTTCTCCACATGCCAGATCTAACTGGTCTTTGTGGAGGAACAAAGGCAGTATCTGGGTCACTGTATTTGTTTAGGGTTTACATTGAGCCCTTTCACGGTGGACAAAACAACGCAAACGGTTTAAAAGCGTGAATACTTGGACTCTCTATTCAAGTTCATACAAAAAAACAGAGGAAAAAAACATGATGGATACAATTAAACATGGGCTTGTGTGTTAAGACTATGAGAGAACTGATTCTGTAAACTTCCAGATCTCTATGCTTTGTTCCAAAACATAGTGAGCGGCCTATGTAGACGACATTATATGACATCGTAGGCCTACTCTTGACTACCTCTAAAAAACTTATTTTCGCCAAATTCTGAGAAAAAAATGAATCACACAGTCTAATTCACAGAAAAGTCATTTCCAGAATGTACTGCACAAGCTCAGTGAAAAAACAAACCCAAGATGGACTAAGTGAGAGATACATACTATATGATTCATTCAATATGGATAAATAATGATAAAAAAATAGGACAATTTACACAGTATTTCTTGGGTCTCTTAACATTGTCGCATCATTAGCTTAGCCACATGCTAACATCAGTCCCTACTGTCCCCTGTACAGTGTGATATTTTGCGAAACACAAGTTATTGCCTATGTTGATGTTCCAAATTGGTTAGGCTGCTTCCTTAGAAGGCCTAGCTGCCTATGTAGGCAGTAGATAATGAGGCAGCTCTTTAGGTTTTAGAACAGAGCCTACAGTACATTTTTATTACAGATGAATCAGACCACGTTTTTTTCATTGATGATGTTTTCAACGCAACCAGCTGGAACTTGATAATTTTTTATTTTTTTTAGTTTGCAATCATTTCCTGCAAAGATTACAGAACTGACTGGCAGATCATGACAAACCCCAGAACCTTGGGTGACCGGAAACAGGACTGATATTTATTTTAGGCATAATTCACTCATTCATTTATTCCTCATGTCATTCCAAACCTGCATGACTTTCTTTTTTCTGTGGAGCACAAAAGGGATTATTTTGAAGAAAGGTCATGCTGCTCTTTTCCATGCAGTGAAAACATTAAGCGACCAATGACTTTCAATTTCCAAAAAGAACAAAATTTTGTGTTCTGCTGCAGAAATAAAGCCAAACCGGTTTGAATTGATTTATAAATAAGGTAAGTAGATAAGTAAATAATTACAGAACTTTCATTTTTGGGTGATCTATCCCTTTAAAGGAATAGTTCACCCAAAAATGAAAAATTACCATCCAAAAAGTAGATGAGTTTGTTTCTTCATCAGAGCAGATTTGGATAACTTTAGCTTTACATCACTTGCTCACCAATGGATCCTCTGCAGTGAATGGGTGCCGTCATTAAGAGATGTTCTGATGAAGCAACAAACTCATCTACATCTTGGATGGCGTGAGGGTGAGCAAATTTTCAGTTTTGGGTGAACTACCGTGTTCCTTTAAGTGTCAAAACAACTTCAACCACCAAGTGCATCAGTTTTCAAGAACTTCCTTTTTTTCAAAGCAATACAATGTGTGCAAGCTTACCATCATCTGTGGTTGCATTGGGTGGACTAGAAGTAAAATGACGAAAATGATCAAGAATGTGGGTGGAGGTGGTTTTGTGTGACCAAGTGTGCAGCCGTTTGGTTTGGAGCCATGTCTCTTCATTTGTGTGTGTATGTGTGTGTGTGGTTGCCTTTGGATGAGATTTGCATGTACTAGTTGAGAAACTGTGGTTCGCAAGGGTTTCCTGATACCTTTGCTGCAGCGTGCGGAGATGCTCCTTGGTCCAACAGAAGGAGGGCCACTTTCTGGTTATCGTAGTGTGCGGCAACATGCAGTGGTGTTAGTCCACTCTAAAAACACACACAAATATACATAGCTATTATTGGCCAAGAGCTCAGAGGTGGGGTGTGTGAAACAGGTGCCATCATAAATCAATCAGCTTTTACATCTGGACATTGGAGAAGAGTACATTTAGCCAGAACACATTAGTGAATGAAACATCTGGAACTGGAACTGATAGTATGTATCCTGATAGCATACAAATGCCTCTTTTCATCTGGAAGATGTCTTTTTTAAAGCGTTCACTAGCTGCCAGGATTTAGAAAGACATTCAGCAGAGGTTTTACAATATTTATAACACAGAATATGTGTAAAACAACTTCTTAAAAGACTTATTAGTTAAAACATGTTGAATAGTGCATTTAAAAAATAACATGTATGGATTAGCAGATATTATATGTAAAGACCCTATGAAATGAATGTTTTAAATGCATACAGCTGCTTTTGATTTCTTGTGGTTTTAATGGTGCGGTCACACTTGATTTTGTGTTTCATTCACTTCCATTCATACACATGCAAATGCACGAAAGCTGGAATGAGAGTTTACTTTAAGAGTGAACTATATGATAGCCAACATTCATTAATGAGTGTACATCAGTCTGTATGTCTTTGATGCACATATATTAAGTCAGACTGAAGATTAGCCAGCATAAGCATGCTATTTCTTCTTTGTGTTCAATTTAATTGGCCGCAAACTGAGTTGAGAAACAGATGAAACCCTTTTTAGCAACTATACAAAGAATTTTGATTAAATATGTCCAATACTCATATCTCTCATCCAAAATCCCTCCCTTACAACAGATGCTTAGAAAGAAAAATGAATGCTTCATTTCTTACCGTGGTCATGTTATCATACCAAAAACCGAAGGATGGCCGTGATGACATAAACTCATACCATAAATCTTGTACATAATACAGTAGGTAGTAATCATCAATCTATAACCATTAGTGCAAATAGATACTTTTACCTTTCCAGCTGCATCAGGTGGCGCTCGCTTCTGTAGCAGTAAGTTAGCAACTTCAATCTTCCCGTATTTGGCTGCAACATGCAGGGGAGTGAATCCTTTCTGCAAAGACAAACAGTTAAAAAAAAATTAAAATTTACACACTAGAATTCAGAGACAAGTCATCCATCGTAACATGCAAAACTGTTGCAACTTTTAGAAAAAAAAAGTCATTTTGGGTGGGGTTGAAAAATCGCAACTGACATTTGTAAAAAAAAAAAAAAACTGATCTGTGTTGCACAAGTTTCCTTCTGTTAAGTAATACTAAAGAATAAACTTCCGTCCAGCTAGAGATGAAGCACTGCTGTAACCAATCTGGTTTTACACAAGGCAGACCGTATGATATAACATATAACAGTGGCCTGCAGTTCTGGTCAGACAAAGCTGATCTATCAAATGCATTAACAAGCTGAAAGTCATATATATTTATATATATACATATATATATATACAGTGGCCGAGAGAGCTCAACGCGCTGCAATTGAAAAAAAACACATGCAAATAGAAAAAAAAACACCTGCAAATTAAGAAAACATCTTCATCAATTTGACAACACACACACTGCAAATTCTCACAACACAAAGATATGCGCTTCCATTAAACTTTTCCGATGTGGTCTGTGCATATTTGCAGCGCATTTCTGTTTTTGCTTGTTTGTTTTGTATTTGCATCGCGTTTGTGTTGTGAGAATTTGCAGCGCGTTTCTGTATTTGGTTGTGTTGTGAGAATTTGCAGCGCATATATATATCTATATATATATATATATATATATATATATATGCAATATTATATTATTATTACTAGTTGACATGAAAATAATACCAAATATAATATAATTTATTATTTATTTTATATTTTGATATAAAATGTGAGCAGTTTTGATGAGATTTACTCAAAATTATAGCTCCAAAACTAAAACAGATTCTTTAATAACCACCTTTTCCTCTTCATAATCTCTGATCCTAATTTAGCGTCATAATGTTTATTTTATTTTGTAACCTCAATTTTCAGGTTTTTATGCTGCATTTATGAAACTGGCAAATGTCGAAGTTTAGTTGATCTGGAGATTGCCGTTTCTGAAGGACAGCATACCATATGCCTTACTAACCTGAACAATTATTACAGACACTGAACAAACATATCCAATGACAGCTGTGTTATCGGAGGGAAACTCTGCTCTGCGGTGAATAGAGTCGTGGAAAACACCATCAATTCATTGGCCTTCCTCAGCACATTCCCACACTGTAACACTTGGCAGCCTCTCAGTGATGGCTGTCTAGTATTTTATGTCTATCACAATCACACAGAAGGCGGACACTGGGGAAATCTTTTATTTCTACAGCTTGAAAATAGCTGCTGAGAGTCGCAGTGGTCAAGGCTGAGTTTTATTGGACGACAAAAAATTTAGACATATATATTAATTAACATTTTGGCTCCTCTCTAAAAATATGTTGATTAAGTATGGTCTATACAATAAAAAATATTTTTACTCTGTATAAATGTTTGTTTTGTGTGTGTGTATGTGCATGTGTGTTTGAGAAAATAAGTATTTTTCATTCATATTGATCAAAATTTAATTTGAGAAACGAATAAATTTGACTAACAAATTAGAGTATTTTATAAATTGGTTCAAAGTATCACTTTTTCATTATAATGACTCCTGGCTATTTACAAAATAAACTTCCTGTTTCAATAGGAAATATATTAACACATAAAAGGGAACTGCACTTGGCAAGCCATCACATAAGGTCTTTATTTTAAAGCCTGTATATTTCCTGTCTTAACTAGAAAGAAAAGATGTCCTGTTATCCATGCAATCACTGCATGAGTGTAGGCGAGCACCAATCTAGTCCATGGACCTTTATTTACTGTGAAATGTGGAAATGAAAGCCCTGTGCTCAATAACATAATGAGAACAAACACCCAAAACCAATACAACCCACATGCAGCAACTCCGAATGATCCGAAACATCATCAGATGTTCCTTAATAATGGACATGATGTCAGCCATGTTGTTCCGTAAAAGCATTTTGTAATATATTCCATGTAATGGAAATATAACAGCATACTGCTAGCAAAACCCTATGTCAGCATGGCAGGTTGGTGAGCTGTCGTGATGGATGAGATGACCTTTCTTTAATGTGCAAGAGTTGCAAACCCATCACTGACTTTGATTTGGTCAGCTAAAATGTTCAGGGTGGAGATGTAAAGCATTTCATATACAAAACATTTAGATTTAACACTGCTGTGTGATAAATACTAATACTAAACGTGTCAGGATACATGATTTATGCCAGTGATGAACTGCTGTGTATTAGTGTTGGGATATCTATCCAGCTATCTGAACTTAATTCCGAGAGGTTTCATGATGAGCTAGAGGTGTTCACAAATCATTCCACACACTGCATTAGTTTTAATTAGTTGTTCGCACTAACAGCAATATGTTAATTTTTGAAAGAAAGCAGATTACTTGTCATAACAAAATGAATTTTTTTTTAGCATTTCATTTTGTTGATTTGAAGTGTACTTTTTATTTATTAAAGGGGTCGATTTCAAGTTTTCCGTTCTCTTTGGAGTGTTACAAGCTGTTCGTGAATAGATAAGATCCCTAAAGTTGCAAAGACTAAAGTCTCAAACCCAAAGAGATATTCTTAATAAAATTTAAGACTCGTACACGCCCTCCTAAAACGCCTCGTTTAAACACGCCCTCACATGTCTACATCACTGTGTTGGAAGATTTGCATAACACCGCCCAAATGTTCACGCAAAGAAAGGTGGCGTATCTTTTATTCTCGCTGTAGCATTGTTGCCACCGCCGCCATTACGTGGAGATGCAGTGTGTTTCGTTGTGAAAGTGAAATTTTGAAACGACCTCCTGTCTGAGCGATATAACACTTTGTCAGCAGAACACAGCTCACATGCTCAATTTATTCATAATACAATTCATTTACTGATTCATTACAAACACATCTGCAGCTTGATGAGGGAGGGGGCTGTCTGCTCCATTAAACCAAACAGATAGAAATCAACATCCCATCACAAGGGATGTCACAGACGAAGCAAAATGTTGGCGAACTTGTGGAATGGATGCAATCAAACAATCTTGTTTAAAGAACAAGACCATAGAAAATAGCAGGCAGGGCTCACTGAACAGCACAAAGTGGATCAGTTTAACAGTGTGATCAAAGTATGATCTATTTTGATTAATTGAAACCACATCAACGTTAGCCAATCTGAAATAAAATACATTTCTGAAACAAGATATGCCACAGAAATATGATGCATTGTAACACTACGACCAAGGATTGTTAAAATTGGCGAATGCTATTTTCGTTCCCATGTTGTATGGATTTCCTGAAACAGTGTTAATTGATAAAGGAAGTTGAAATTGGACATATTGATGAGCTCAAATAAACAAATAATAAGATTTTATATTACAAGTAAAATTAAATTTGGAAAAAATAAACTTCGGAGATGGGCTCATTTTGTTTGTGAGAGTCTATAAGATCACATACATTTTTACAGCATAAATTGTGCTCAGATTGCATACTTTCTTGGAGAACGATGAGGGAGGATAAATCTTGCAGGTGAAATCAGATCAATCCATATTTCTTAGATTTAACACTTTCTGTGGATAAAGTGCCATTGGATGTATTTCACTGCGCACAATTTACTCTAGTGTGACAGATTGGACTCATCTCACAATAAAAAGGTTTTAAGTCTTGAACGTTTTCATTTGTACTATACTGCAAAACAGAGACTGAACTTTGTTGCTAAACCCTTAGATCTTTGAAAAGAGGTGTAATTTGTCAACTTTAATTTCCTTCACCTATTTTTCACCTTCTCACAAGGTACACCTTTGTACCTCTTTTACCCATAAAGGATGCATTTAAGTACCTTAAAGGTACATATTAGTACTCAAAATGTACATATTAGTACCTAAATGGTAAATATAGACTAAATGGTACACCCCAGTAACAGCTTTTGTACCTTTTTTTCTGAAAGTGTAGTCTTCTATATATAGTAAATGTAAACAAAAGTAAACAAAGTGTGTTAAAAATAGCCTAGCTGGCAGCCAAATCTTCACTGATTATCTAACCACAAATTACAAGTTTCATGAATCATTCAGCTTTGTTGGTGTGACTGACCTTGGTAGTGATGCCAAGAGATGCTCCGTTGTCCAGCAGGATGGATGCCACATCTTTGTGGCCTTCGCGAGCGGCCAGGTGGAGCGGCGTGTAACCGGATGTGGTGGTGGCATCGGGTGAAGCCCCGTGTTGCAGCAACTGCTGGACTATGTCCGGTTTGCCCAGACGACTGGATATATGCAGTGGGGTATGATCATCCTACACACACACACCCATGTAAGACTTGTTAGTCTTTTTTTTGCTTTGTAGAGGTTGTAAGATGCTAGAACTTTTTAATATTTCCTTGCAAGACTGCAGAAATCAATTAAATGAGGCAACGCTAAAGAGGATTGTGGCACTTTTGACAGTCATGTAACCGCAAACAAGCAAATGTTTCCTATTAGTATAGATTGACTGCATTGCATTCCACAGCTATTACACTCCACTTTGAACAATACAGTAAGTGTGTGTTAACATAATGCATCACTTTAAAAGTCTTTCATATACATACTTATTTCACAGATGGTACTTGACTATTGCACTCTTCCATATAATGTGGTTAATGTTTGACCAGAATTTTTAAACCAGATTTTTAATGTTATTAATGGTTGCTAGAGTGTTACTAGGTGGCTGAAAAGGTGTTTTGAGTGGTTTTAGCACATTGTTATGCGGTTTTTCTAGGGTGTGCTAGGTGATTGCTACGATATGCTGAGTGATGTTGTGCATGTTGCTACAAGGTTGCTATTGTTCTAGATGGTTGTTACCACTTTGTTTGAAGATTGCTTTTGTGTGGTTTTTAGTGTGTTGCTATATGGTTGCTTCTGATTGGGTGGTTGCCAGGGCAATTCTCTATGAATGTTAAGGTGTTCTGAGTGGTTTTTAGCATGTTGCTATGGGAATGTTAGGGTAGGGTGACCATACGTGCCATTTTCCCGGGACGCGTCCTGGCCAGGATTTCTATATTGCCTAAAATATCTAGGTTTTGGCTTTGTTTGCGTGTGCAGACCGATCGGTGTATGACATCAAAATACCATACAGACGGTTCCTTATGCTTTCAAAATGCTCTTGAGGTACTTTGATGTCAAACACTGATCGATCTGAGCCGCGCTACTTTTAAGTCGAACACACATCCTATGTATACGTAATTGCATCACTTTGACCGTAGATCCCACCTTCTCACACACCATGATTGGTCCATTATGTACAATGCCTGCATGTTATTGGTCAAACTACTTTTCGATCATTACCTTCAGCAAACATGAAAACAGGAAAAAACAAAGCCAAAACAAATCCTGGCAAGGACGCGTCCTGGGAAAATGGCACGTGTGGTCACCCTATGTTAGGGTGTTCTGAGTAGTTGCTTTGTGACTCAAATCAAAAGAGCCCACGATTATGTCTCTCTTCAGGCCCTCATTCAGTACAAGTGGGATTTGTTTAATCTGTTTATCATCTGCCAGACAAAAATTATATATCTACGAAATACAACAACACCCCTCTCCTCAACAAGTTGCACGACTGGAGCAAACTACATGCCAACCTTTAACATTTAGGGGTTAGGGGTTTATCCAAATCACTAATAAATCAGCACATACTTAGACTCATATCTCTCGCTCACCTTGGCTTTGGCGTCCACATCTGCTCCATTCGCCACCAGGAATTTCACCACGTTTGTCTGTCCTGCCCTGGCAGCCATATGGAGTGCTGTCTCTCCTCTCTAAAACACACACAGAGGAAGCTTCTGGAAAAAAGGTACTACTGTGTTTGGACAGTAAGTCTGCAATCAGAAATGTAGTAGGGCCATTTTATAAACGTTATCAACTTGGGTCATGAATATTAATTAGGTGACATAATATTCATATAAACTTGGCTCATGAATATTAATTAGGTGACATAACATTCATATTTTGCTGATTTGTTCTGAACATGCAGTCGGCTGGTCTTAAAGGCATTGTTCTTCACACCTTAAGCAAGTAAAATTAAACTTTATAATAAATAAATATGCCCCAAAAAGTTGGGTGGGACAAAAGTCTCTCCAATTATAATGGTTGCTACGACTCTGGTTTCCACAGACAACCAACATTTCTTACGAAGGCATAAACAATATTTCTTACATTAGGAGTTATTAAGCTGTTGATTAAAAGAGAGCACAGTGTACAGCAAAGCAAGCTCTGCAAATAGAAAAAACCTCTCTCTCACCTCAGTCACAGCCTGAATGGACGCTCCGTGTTTCAGCAGCAGCTCCATCACTTTAATCCTGTTCTTCTTGCAAGCGATATGAAGTGGTGTAAAACCATTCTACAGAGATAAAAAAAGAGATTCTGGTGGCTTTTACTCCAGCTTACTAATGAAAATCGGGTTGCTTTTTCCCCGTAACCAGCTTTGTTTCCAGACGAATGAAAACACGTGGCTCCTGCTGCTCTATGCTTGGCAGACTTGTCTTTCTAAAGTTTTCTTTCTTTCTTCCTTCCTTCCTTTTTTCCTCATAAAGTGCAGAGACACGCCCGTTCTGTAACCATTACTTCAGAGCATGACAGTCCTCACTGCGCTCTTTGCCAAAAGAGGCTTTTTACAGATTGCCATGGTGCTGTGCAGAAACAAAACATGTTACATGTTCATGATCTTCCCTCTAAGTTCTCACATATAAAATTTGGAGGGTACCATCTAAGGTGGAAGCCAAAGAGGGAAAAAAAGGAATATGGGATTTTACGAGACTAGTTAGCTCTGTTTATCTGATGCATATTGCACACAAAGCTGGAAAGCACTTCTTTTTTTTAAATCTGACAGGCTGATTGTATACTGTAAAAAAAAAAGTATTTTCAAAGTTGTAAATATATATATTGGATTATTGGAGTATGTTTTACAAGAAAATACTATTTCAGGTCTCCTACTTCAAAATATCATGTTTAATTAATTGTATTATTTGCTGTTGCTTGTTTGTGAGATTCGTGCAATTTCTGAGTGAAAATTGTTTCTACATCAATTCTTTTTTTACTGTATTAACCCCCACCCACCACCACCACACTGGTCAATTATTATGGAACAAGGCATTTTAGATAAACTAACCCCTAAACAGCACATAAAAACAAATGTCGGTCGCTTTACATTTCAAGGGATAGTTCACCCAAAAATGGAAATTCTGTCAAAATGTTTTCCAACCCTGTACATGTTTCCTCCTTCTGCTGAACACAAAAGAAGATATATTGAAGAATGTTGGTAGCCAAACAGTTCACGGTAGCCACTCACTGACTTCCATAGTATTTTTCTATACTATGGAAGTCAATGGCTACCTTCAACTGTTCGGTTACCATCATTCTTCAAAATAACTTATTTTGTGCTCAACAGCTCAAAGAAACTCATACAGTTTTTTAACAAATTGTAATTGGCAGAATTTTCTTTTTTGGGTGAACTATACCTTTAAGTAGATGGTTCTTGGCCAAAATAAGCTGTAAAGTGTACCAGACCTTATTCCTATAGTCAAAGGTCTGGATAAGAAACTTTGAAACATTCCACTTGTTAATGCAAGACTCACCAGTGCTTTGGCATTAGGATTGGCCTTCTTGTCCACAAGGACCTTGGCAACTTTGTAGTGTCCGCAGTGTGCAGCGACATGCAGGGCTGTCAGGTAATCATTGGTGACGTCATCCACGGGCACTTCATGATGAAGCAAGAGTTGAACGCTGTTCAGATGATCTCCTTGCGTGGCCATGTGCAATGGTGAAAGGCCATTCTGTTGAATCACACAACAATTTATGTTATGCTGAAATAAAATAACTGAAGAACGTTCAATTATCAATTCTCTATTTTTCATCTGGCATCTCATAGGAATCACAGATGGATCAAATCTAAAACAGTGTTCAGAATTCAGAGAAGCAAATGTAAACTTTGAAAATCTAATAGAGCCATAATCCCCCCTCAAAAAGGACATTTGGGGTAAAAGAATAGCGAGAGAATATTTATACGTCACTATTTGTGCTAAAACAATTGCTCCATCATGACACTTATCGGCTGGGATATTATCTAATTTGGCGAGAAGTCTGTGACCATGTTTTGCTTTGCTTTCAGATTCCAGGAAAGTGTTTCAGTGATGCAATGGAAAAATAGAAGAAAAAATGATATTGTCACATCTGCATACACTTAAAGGAACGGTTCATTCAAAAAATTATATCATTCACTCGCCATCATGTCATTCCAATCCCAAAAAAACCTTACTAGAACACAAAAACGTTTAATATGGGGTTTAAAAGACAATTTGTATTCAGTAATATTTGCATTTATGCATTTAGCAGACACTTTGATCCAAAGTGACTTACAAAAGAGTAACAAAAGCTGAACTGGATTGAGCTGAACTAAGGCTATGTTCGCACGACAATGATGTAGTCAAAAATAGAAACGTTTTTCCCTTGCGTTTTTAAAATGTTTCACGTATACACGACAACGTTTTCAAAACGATTCTCATTTACACATGTCTGCGAAAACGGGCAAAAACGTTGTACTACGTATTGCCAGGCCAGTAGTTGGCGCTGTCACCTTGTTAGTAAACAGTATTATGGAACAAGGCATTTTAGATAAACTAACCCCTAAACAGCACATAAAAACAAATGTCGGTCGCTTTACATTTCAAGGGATAGTTCACCCAAAAATGGAAATTCTGTCAAAATGTTTTCCAACCCTGTACATGTTTCCTCCTTCTGCTGAACACAAAAGAAGATATATTGAAGAATGTTGGTAGCCAAACAGTTCACGGTAGCCACTCACTGACTTCCATAGTATTTTTCTATACTATGGAAGTCAATGGCTACCTTCAACTGTTCGGTTACCATCATTCTTCAAAATAACTTATTTTGTGCTCAACAGCTCAAAGAAACTCATACAGTTTTTTAACAAATTGTAATTGGCAGAATTTTCTTTTTTGGGTGAACTATACCTTTAAGTAGATGGTTCTTGGCCAAAATAAGCTGTAAAGTGTACCAGACCTTATTCCTATAGTCAAAGGTCTGGATAAGAAACTTTGAAACATTCCACTTGTTAATGCAAGACTCACCAGTGCTTTGGCATTAGGATTGGCCTTCTTGTCCACAAGGACCTTGGCAACTTTGTAGTGTCCGCAGTGTGCAGCGACATGCAGGGCTGTCAGGTAATCATTGGTGACGTCATCCACGGGCACTTCATGATGAAGCAAGAGTTGAACGCTGTTCAGATGATCTCCTTGCGTGGCCATGTGCAATGGTGAAAGGCCATTCTGTTGAATCACACAACAATTTATGTTATGCTGAAATAAAATAACTGAAGAACGTTCAATTATCAATTCTCTATTTTTCATCTGGCATCTCATAGGAATCACAGATGGATCAAATCTAAAACAGTGTTCAGAATTCAGAGAAGCAAAAGTAAACTTTGAAAATCTAATAGAGCCATAATCCCCCCTCAAAAAGGACATTTGGGGTAAAAGAATAGCGAGAGAATATTTATACGTCACTATTTGTGCTAAAACAATTGCTCCATCATGACACTTATCGGCTGGGATATTATCTAATTTGGCGAGAAGTCTGTGACCATGTTTTGCTTTGCTTTCAGATTCCAGGAAAGTGTTTCAGTGATGTAATGGAAAAATAGAAGAAAAAATGATATTGTCACATCTGCATACACTTAAAGGAACGGTTCATTCAAAAAATTATATCATTCACTTGCCATCATGTCATTCCAATCCCAAAAAAACCTTACTAGAACACAAAAACGTTTAATATGGGGTTTAAAAGACAATTTGTATTCAGTAATATTTGCATTTATGCATTTAGCAGACACTTTGATCCAAAGTGACTTACAAAAGAGTAACAAAAGCTGAACTGGATTGAGCTGAACTAAGGCTATGTTCGCACGACAATGATGTAGTCAAAAATAGAAACGTTTTTCCCTTGCGTTTTTAAAATGTTTCACGTATACACGACAACGTTTTCAAAACGATTCTCATTTACACATGTCTGCGAAAACGGGCAAAAACGTTGTACTACGTATTGCCAGGCCAGTAGTTGGCGCTGTCACCTTGTTAGTAAACAGTACCTGTAGGGAAGTGACGATTATATGTTGTATATGATGTGTCTCCGCTTTTGGTTGTAATATTGGTGAAGTAAATCCACATTTTGCTGAAGAAGTGTTAGCAAACTCTTGAGCAGCAACAACAGTACCATGTATTCCGCCATTGTTGTGTATGTTTGTTCGCGCTCGCCTTTAAAATCGACACGTACTGCGCATGTCTACATACCAAACACGTACTACGCACGATGTCACCGTTTTCGAAGATTCCCGTTTTGGTTGTTTACACGGAAACGACAACAGTGGCATTTTCAAAAACTTGCACTTTGAAACCCGTTTTCAAAAATATGCGTTTTCAGTCCCCAAAACGCCGTTGTCGTGTAAACGAACAGACAAAACGCATAAAAAGTTTCCCGTTTTTGGCTGAAAACGTTGTCGTGTAAACGGCCCATTAAATGAACTAAATAATGACACTATTGTCTCCTGTAGAGCTGTTTTACAGCAAATAAATAAATATATTGTTTCATAATTTATGGATTTTGCAACATTAACACTGCTGTTTTCTTGTTTATTATTGTAAAGCCACTTTAAAACAAACTGTATTGTATAAAGTCCTATATAAATAAATCGGACAAGGCAAAAGGAGATGCTTAGCTAAATGTCCAGGCTGCACTTTTCCATATAACAAAAGTGAACGGACACAATCATTTCATTTTGCATTCAGCATTTCATTCTGTTTGGCCCACAAAGTTCCCGTTCCCGTTCAATATATCGAAAAGAGCAGCATGAACATTCTTCATGTTGTGAAGTTTTGTGTTCCACAGAAGAAAGTAAGTTTGGAAAGACAAGAGGGTGATTCAATGACGACAGAATATGCATTTTTTAAGCGCAGAACAGCATATCTAACCTTTGTCTTAGAGAGGATGGGTGCTCCACGATCTAGTAACATCTCAACTACTTGCTCATGACCGCTCCTCGCTCCACAGTGTAAAGGTGTCAGGCCGTCCTGGAGGTTTGAAAACAAAAACATCCGCCATCATTAACATTACAATCCCTCCCAGTATTACCGACATGTGTCAATATGTCAAACACACAATGAAAGGTAGCGTTCCACTACTGGAGACAGAGAAGAGCACAACATCTGCATGCAATTTCTCTTCGACGGTGGTGCCAAACTCACGTAACCCGATGGCTGCAGTTGTTATCATTTATTAGAATCAAACGGCATGTATCCCTGAATTATCCCTTACAGATAAATTCCCTGTTCATCTTGAAAAGCATTTTCTAAGAAAGCAGATGAAACTGGCCACAAATTAACGACAACTGAATTTGTTCCCTCTGAAACTTGACATGTATTTTTTTTTTTTTTAATTACAGCTTTTTTTCTTTCCAAGTCTTTATAAACTATACAATACACACACGCCATTGTGCAATAAATGTGCTCACTTCCTCTGATGACTTAAATATAGAGCTGGAAAAGAAAGACTTCTTGCGGCACTGACCTTGGTTTTGGCGTCAATTCGAGCTCCTCTCTCCAGCAGCAGCCTGACCATGTTGGCATTTCCTCTTTTCGATGCCACATGAAGAGGCGTGATATCATTCTGCCACAATAAAAAGATTGTCAGACACATAATCAAGTTCAAAAGAACAAGGTTGATTACATGTAAACACATACTATATTGGTGCTGTGTGACTGTATAATAACAACTGGCATTTTCTATGTAGTATATCTGATGAACTAATAATACATTTTCTATAGATATTCACAAAAACTATTTTTAAAGGAAGAATTTCTATTCTTTGAAAAATAGCGCACTTTCCCTTTAAACATTGCTTATTTTGGTTAAATTGTTCTCTCTGTAATATTTATTAGTCAGAAAACAGAATTCTTCAGTTACAATGTTTGTGATTTGAGGTATAAAGTTTTTGCAATTGTCCTTAATATGGTCCTGATTATTTGGCTAATACAAATGTCAAAAAGAACAATGGCTAAATAATATCATTTAATAGCAACAGCAAATACGATGTTAAAAACGTAATTTTCACTTTAAATGTTTCTTATTCATTGACAAGGAGGTCAACAATCACAAGGAGTATAAAACACTTTTATTTCTGTATCAATGTTGAGTGTACATGTATCTAAAATGAGAATATATCAAAATATATGCCAAAATATAAATCTACTGTATATACTAAAAACTGTATTTGTGTTGTGAGCTTTTTTTTTTTTTACAAACTGAGGGACAAGTCTGTAGTAAGCAACAGCATGCATTAATGTTTCAACAGAGATTGTTTTATTTTACTATTTATACTTTATACTTTACTAAGCAAACTGATGGTGTCAATTTATTGGAGGTTATTAATTATACCAATCCTCTAAAATCATACATACATTAATACAGCATTCAATAATTTATTGTGTCTTAATTCATCTACGTCTGTATTAATATGTTGCCGGTGGCATATAAGCATGATATTAAGTCTGGTTACACTTTATTTCGATAGTCCACTTTAGACATTCTACTAACTATAAGTAACTTTGTAACTACATGTCAACTACGTGTCAACTAATTCTCATTAGTTTGCAACTACATGTCTACTAACACTCAGAGTAGACTGTTAGGGTAGGTTTAGGGTTAGTAGAATAAGTTGACAAAGAAAGTATTAGAAGATATTAAGCAGACAGTCTACTAATACTCTACGAACTGCTAGTTGACATGTAGTTGCAAAGTTACTTGCTGTTAATAGAATGTCTAAAGTGGACTATCGAAATAAAGTGTTACCTTAAGTCTTTAGTGAACAAAATATGTTCCATCTTAGAGATTTTTAATAATGTTTCACAAATGAGAGATTCTGTCCAGAGCTGCAGTGGCACAGATGAAGTGCACATCGTCACACTGTAGACAGAAGTATTGGGATACACCACCCTCTAGTGATAGCTTACAAAATCCCTAATTCCTCCACTGCTAGGTTTTTTATTTTCCACTCCCTGCTTGCTTGAGAGAAAACCCACTCAAAATTGTATTTATTTATTTTAAAGAAACACTGGCATACGGTGATCTGCAACACTTGCACACTGATAAGCATGATACAAACAGTGCTGTGTCCCAGTGCCGTTGTTCAGCAAAACAAATTAGAGGATTGGAAATAACTGCCGTATGACAGCTAATACATTTCAGAACTCAGCTGCTTAAATTGAGCCAGTGTTGCTCTCAGAACAACACACGTATCATTCTCCTGAAGCGAAGATAAAACACCTGATCCAGACAACCTTTTTGGCACTGCATGCACAGATTGGCCCTGAACTGGTTTAGACTATGTTGACCAGTGTTTCTCTGCCGTTCTTTGACCCTGACCCTAATGCCGAGTTCACACTGCACGATTTTCAAAGACGTCGCATCACTGTTGGTTTCACACTGAACGACTATCTGGGGTAGCATTCAGTTGTTGCTGTTCACACACTGCACGATGGAACGACGACAGGAGGTTACACACTGCATGACTTTACAATAAGAAGAATCGCCGACAGCTCTGTCTGGTGCAGGGTTGCCAGGTTTTCACTACAAAACCCGCCCAATTACTACTCAAAACTAGCCTATAAAAATAGCCCAATTGCTTTCGAGGGGGTCCCCCAGTAAAAATCTCGTTTGGGGGTAAAATAAAAAATTTTTTTGGTGGGGTTCTCATGGTACAATTCACATTCCAGGGCCTAAATATCACGTTATTGGGGTCGCTTCAACCTGCTGACATAAAAAACAACCGGCGGCAATCGCGGATTTGGCAACACTGGGCTACTGGGAAACTACGTTTCATATAACTCCTCCCCAAACTTCCCGCTGCCCTGTATCTTGGTCTCTCATTGGCTGTAGGTCATCGCCGATGTGTTTTTCAGTCAGAACTCATTTCACACGGTGTGATTGTGAATCGCAGACAGCTCCAGATATTTAGCATGTCAAATATTTTTCACGGCCGTCGGCGACCTGTCGGCGATTCTCTCAGATCGCGTCTTTGATAATTCGCACTGCGTGATTGTCACTCGCATGAACGAGCACCGATTTGCCTCAGATTTCGGGCATTTGTCGGTGATTTCGCAAAACCTGTCGGAGAGTGAAAAATCGGGCTAAAATCGTGCAGTGTGAACTCTGCATAAGTGAAATGTGATCCTATAGATCTGACATCCCAAACTCTGACTCCATGTTTTGGAATATACTATGCCCATAAGTGTCAAAGTGTTCACTATTGTGCATTCAAAAATTCTGTCCCACACAGTATTAGCATAACATAAGTGACATAACATTGTTCTGCATCTCATGATGCCTCACATCAGATGGGGTCCACCATGTTTTATAAAATGCTAAGCAGTCTATTAGTAAATTAGAGAAAGCTTTCTACTCACATAATAGGGTCCAAGATAAAGAAAAGGTCAACCTTTTTAAAAGTCTAGTTTAAAATGTACACTACTGTTCAAAAGTTTGGAGTTTGGCAAGATTTTTGTTATTTTTGTGTCTCTAATGCTCACCAAGGCTGTATTTATTTGATCCAAAAATACAGTAAAAACAGTAGTATTTAAAAAAAATAAATGTTACAATTTAATTGTATTTAATTTATTTTAAATATTTTAAAATGTCATTTATTTCTGTGATGCAAAGCTGAATTTTCAGCATCATTACTCCAGTCTTCAGTGTCACGTGATCCTTCAGAAATCTTTATAATATGCCGCTTTACTGCTCAATAAATATTTTTTTATTATTACCAATGTTGAAAATAGCTGTGCTGCTTAATATTTTTGTAGAAACCATGATACATTATTTTCAATATTCTTTGATGAATAGAAAATTCAAATATATATATATATATATATATATATATATATATATATGAATTTGAAAAAATAACCTTACTGACCCTAAACTTTTAAATGGTAGCGTAATTGTTTAAGTATTTTAATTAATGAATGTCGTGTGGAGTAACCATTAAGTAAAAAGTAATAGCATGTTTAGTTTTTACAAACATCACAAGCACATTAATATCATTATGCACATTACATTTCACTGAACTAATTTTGTCTGGTCATACAAAGGTCAAATTATCTGATATTTTAACTGACACAGTGATGAGCATCTGCAGTGTTTCTCTCTTTTTTCTAGTATGTTGGTGGTACTTGACTATCTATATTGAAAATATTTTAACAAAACTGCTGTCCTGCTTATTTTTTCTAAGACGATATATTATTATTCAAAACTCAATATATTATTATTCAAAATTCAAAATATATTATTCTTTTTTTTTTTAATGAGACCCTTTTTGAATTACCTTGACATTTTGGTCACAAAAATATAAACATCAATCACTTGTATTCAAGTCACTGCAAGTGTGAATTGCATTTTAATTCATATTTTAATTAGCAGATCTTAAAAAAAGGAATATAATTGATCCTATCACAGTTTTGGAGAATTAACCATTCAAGAAAAAGAGGATTTATTTAAACAGAGATTTAATAATGCACATTACGTCATTTAATTGTGACAAAATTTCATTAAATAACGTAAATATACAACTAAACACCATCCTTTATGGTGCCATTTCAATCCATGCTTTAAATATGACATGACATGGAGACAAAAAAAGGCACTGTATATAGAGACTGACCCTGCTCTGACCCCAGTGTAGTTTATGAACCGTTCATATCAATGCACTCCTCTCTTACAGAATTCTACAGCTGGAGTTCATGTCCTTACCCTCGCCTTGAAATCTACAGCAGCCCCGCGGTTCAGGAGCAGGGTTGCTACGTTGATGTTACCGTAGTGAGCCGCTATGTGGAGAGGGGTGAAGCCACTCTGGAGAGGGACAGAGAGAAATAGAGCACAGGGGTCAAAATGTCACATACAGAACTCTGAAAGCCCTGACCCCAAGTCACCTGACCTGACCTCATCCTCTACATATGAAAAGATGACACCAGGCCAGGCGTGGTGCAGTAAATCAGTAAAACAGATCTACACAGATGACCTTAGCACAACACTGAGGGAAGACACATCCTTCACTTGATCCCTCGCCCCATGTAAACTCAATCTAGCTGATTAATTTGTTTGATTTGGTCTAAATATTAAACTTACTTCAATCTCTCCAGTTACACACCATGCTGGGGTTGCAAAAGATGGTAGGGTGTTTCCATTTTAAAGGATGTGTTTTCCTCAAATGTACAAAGCCTTTATAACAGCAGCCTTCAGGCCAAATTTGAATTAACACACATACAAAGCTTAAGTGGAGGTGAACCCATGACGTTATGTGTGCAAACATGCATACAGTGCACTGCATTTAACAATGTGCTGTTAAAACATCAAAAATCGGTTTCAGCTTCTTTGTCTAACTATAATAACAAATACAAATTCAATTATTTGACAGCAAATTGCAGCACATTATTGAGTTATGTCTAGTGAACAGCCGCTGTAAATTTGAGAGAGCAGTTGAGCTGGAGCTGTAGATGTAGATGAATATCATACTATCATTCTCAGTTTTTTAAGTGGTTAATACTGATTTTAAGTTACATATCATGCAGTGCAAATCAGAACGGTTAAGTTGCAGGACAGCTGGAAGAAATCTGGAAGCCATGCTGACTGAGAAGCTAAGAGAAGAGCAGAGAAGAGAAGAGAAGAGAAGAGACAAAATAAGAAAAGATGAAATAAGGCAAAAGACAAGAAAACAAAAGAGATGAAATTAAGAGAAAACAAAAAAGACAAGAGACAATCTTTTTTTACTTGTCTCATGTGATGAAACGATACTAAATGAGAAGAGACGAAATGAAGAGAAAAGATGAGAAGAGAAGACAAAATAAAGAGATGGAAGAAAACTGAAGAGATGAAAGTAGAAGAGAAGAGAAGGTCAGTAGCTGTTTCTGCTGACACCTGCTAGAAGGGGAATGTCATGCATGAGACAGGACGAATGCTCTGCAGGAGTCTGATCCTACACTACTTTCACCTGCAGGACAGCAGACATCTGGGCTTTGGTCTAAAGGGCATTTAGATTTAAAGTTTAAAGCAGTTGAAGTATAACACTGTGTCTAACCGGACACGACAGTTGTCGCGTGGCACCACACCACAACAGCTTGAGGCTGACTACACTGGACGTGACAAAGCAACCGTTGCAAACTATTTGTAGTTTGTCATAAATAAAACAAGGCAGCAGTTTACTTTCGCGGATTTGTTGTGTCGCATCGCACCACACCGCATCCAATGTAGACTGCATCACTGTTTAGAATGGGATCAATTGTCTTTTGTCACGTTGCGCCGCTCGTATACAGTGTAGATAATATATTTATATATATATATTAGGGGTGTACCTTCCTGTTTTTTAAATTTTTTGGATATTTGTCATACTTAAAAGATTCAGATCATTTCGGTACGGGGGTAAGCTTTGGTCTAAAGGGCATTTAGATTTAAAGTTTAAAACAGTTGAAGTATAACACTGTGTCTAACCGGACACGACAGTTGTCGCGTGGCACCACACCACAACAGCTTGAGGCTGACTACACTGGACGTGACAAAGCAACCGTTGCAAACTATTTGTAGTTTGTCATAAATAAAACAAGGCAGCAGTTTACTTTCGCGGATTTGTTGTGTCGCATCGCACCACACCGCATCCAATGTAGACTACATCACTGTTTAGAATGGGATCAATTGTCTTTTGTCACGTTGCGCCGCTCGTATACAGTGTAGATATACAGTGGTGTGAAAATGTGTTGGCCCCCTTCCTGTTTTTTAAATTTTTTGCATATTTGTCATACTTAAAAGATTCAGATCATCAAACTAATTTTAATATTACACAAAGATATTGCAAGTAAATACAAAATGCAGTTTTTAAATGATTATTTATTTTATTAAG